TTTTGCAGCGATAGGAAATGTTGTTTCCCATATATTTTGTTGTTGTGTGTTTGCAAGTTATGCAATCCGTGCTACGGGGAATGGCTTTGCAAGATTTGGAGAATACCCCTAATTTATTTCTGACTATGTACAAAACTGTACAAAAGCACAAATGATATGATGATCGATGAGCAAATGGGAATTGTTTTGTACAGTTTATTTTCGTATCCTGTTCTGAGCATTTATGTATACATTTGTCCATATCTATCTCGATTCGTTTTGGCTGTTACAAACAACCTTTATGCGAACAAAGTTATAATACCCTTGTGCACAAGTGCGCTCGGGTATAAAAACTAAAAAAAGGAAGGTGAAAATAGAATCGAAATGGATGCACAAGCCTGGCTGCGAACTATCCTCCCTAAATATAATCCAGATTTAGCTTATTCTAAATATTACCCTTCGGATGAGCCGCCGCGGCAAATTAGCCGCAAAAATTTTAATTTGTGGTTTTCAAATACTAATTGTAGTAGCCGGCCACTGCCACTCAGTGACTGTAAGTTTTGAGATGCAACATGGTTCACAGTTAGCTGTTACTAGTGGCGGTATATAGTTCAGCTCATATTTGTATTTGAAAGTTGGTGCCTCATAGAGTTGTAAAACTATCGATAGTGCCATCATCGATAGTTTCCATATTTCAGAAAAAAACTATCATTACTCGTTGATAGTTTGCAGCAATACTATCGATAGTGTCAAGCGCTAATATCGTTANCTTCACAGTTAGCTGTTACTAGTGGCGGTATATAGTTCAGCTCATATTTGTATTTGAAAGTTGGAGCCTCATAGAGTTGTAAAACTATCGATATTGCCATCATCGATAGTTTCCATGTTTCAGAAAAAAACTATCATTACTCGTTGATAGTTTGCAGCAATACTATCGATAGTGTCAAGCGCTAATATCGTTAGTACTATCGATAGTCAGTGTAATGATAACAACTCTTCCAAATTAACCGGGACGGCATCGAAATATAAAAAAAAAGAAATGATTGGGAAAATAAACACACTTAGGGCCGTTTTCTCAAGCAACCTTTAACTTTAAAGCTCACTTCATATTTACAGATTGCTTTAAAATGTATAGTTGTGTCTTAAGTAAAGCGTTTTATTATCGAATTTTATTTATTTATTTACATATTTACTACAAATTGTTTAAATTTCGTAATATAATTTTTTTGATTTATTTGCAGCCAATAAACATATGTACATACGTGAAAAACCGATAATAGAAATGCTTCTCTTTAGACATAGCTTTAAGTTTTAAAGCAACGTTTAAATATAAAGGGAGCTTTTCAATTAGAGGTTGGTTGAGAAAACGGCCCTTAAAGAAGGAAGCACAAAGAAAATATCACCTATAATACAAAAATTTGCAAAGAAACCAAACCGACGCGCAGCTACACAATATGGAGAAGTTATGAATAAAATCGGCTGTGCTAGATGTGTTAAACTATCGATAGTCAACTAGTACTATCGATAGTTTAAGAGTTTTAGAGAAAAACTATCACTACTCATCGATAGGGCCAAAAAAATAAAACTATCGATACTACCGATAGTACCATCGATAGTTTGACACCTCTAGTGCCTCATATATGCGGCTGAATTTCCGCGTCGCGCCCTTCCGTGTACCACAAAAATTTGAATTTAACTCGCAATTTTTTTTTTAAGATAGTTGGAAAAGTGAGTGAGGAAATTGTTATTTTGTAAGTATCTTGTCATGTTTAATTTTAAAATTACACTTTGCGTACACATTATTATAACTATGTATTATGATATTCATTTTCTTATGCCTTAGAGAAAAATTTATGTTTTTAAACTTATATAGAAGCGAACCAGCTACGCAACAGAAATTGTAACCAGGAAGATGTACCAGGAATAATAAAACAAAAATTTGTTGTATTAATTGTAACAAAAATTTTTGCAGAAAATATTGCAGGCATACTGTTGATGATGATGGATAAAAATTTAAAAAATAAGTGCTAATAATATGTTTCAGTATAAACACATATTATTTAAGTGTTTTAATAAATAAAAAAAATGCAGTCAACCTTTGAAATGCACTTTGCGGCTAAATTGCCGCGGCGCGCCCTCTCGTGTAACTTTCAAAGCTCGCTCTCCGAAGAGTTATAGAAAAAAACTTTACTAACAAGCAAGATGGGAAAACAACTAACTTGGGAAATACTGAAAAGAACTGAATTATTGTTGACTAGACAATTCAATGAAAATATACTCTGGGCCATTTTCACTTGCCTTACACGGAACCTTAGAATTTATGCTATTTTCACAATAAATGGCCACACCTCCACCTCTTTTTCCTAGTCTGTAATTTCTTATGAGCTTATAATTCTTTAAGCCGTAGCATGCATCAGCTATAGCTTTTAGAAACCATGTTTCAGAAACACACACAACATCAACCGATGAACATTCAACAACATGTCTAACAAAATCAATTTTGATACTATTAAGGCTACGTGCATTAAAATGAACAATGTTAAAGCTTTTCTGCCTACTACAGAGAACATTTAACATGGCTAGAGTGTTTTCATCACTCATAACGTTCCTACAACACATAAAACACAAACTAGATAGGGGACACCAAATAAAAGCAACTTCAAAACATTGTTGAACTGAAAATCGAGCAGAGGAACTAAACAGACCATTAATTTAAATAAATAACATAAATTTACTAAGATAACATAAGTATAACATACGCATGCTTCAAACATGATTTTTTAACATTAGCCGTCGTAATAACATTGCAAATCAGTCTGATTTTCGATCTTTATTGCAGGCAGTGTTGCCGCGCCCAAAAAATAAAGTTTAACAAAATCTTTCAAAAAGTTTAACAGATCCCGTTAAAATTAAGCAACTTATTTAACGGGTCTTATTAAAACGAAAATGCTTGGAGTTACTGTTTGTTTCATCCTGAGCTTGGTAAATTGGTTATAGAAATAAAAAGTAAGCAAGTCAGTAAGTAAAGGCTCTCTAAGGCCGAGTTTTGTCGTCAAAAGCAAGGATGTTATAGTCTAAGGACCAATTTCAAATGAATATTTAAACGGCACTTAAGTTTGATTGTGGTCTGTGGTTTAAATGCCACTAGTAATAATCCCCGAAAATCGGGGTGCTCCGTGGTCTAGAAGATCTGCATATTTCTTTATTCTAAAAACCGCATACATTGCTTTTGGTTGTTCACTTTAACTTGGTATTTGGAAAGATCGTACACTACTCAATACGCCATGCGTTAAGCATTAAGCTAGGGTCTGACCTTGATACTTATTTATTGTTTTTGCGAACGCTACAATAATTTTGAATTTGCGACGTTTAAATACAAAAGCAAGTGTTGATTCGCTGGGCTGATAACTAACCCTTTATATGTACATATTTGTATTGCGACATCCAAACAATTAAATTGTGATTCTTTAACTATTAGGCGAGACCATTAACTAACCCTTCATATGTACATATTTTGGTGGTGGATTAGCATCACAACTGCTCTAACTTTTAGTATCAAGTCATGAGGTGCAACTCCCCTACTTCTACTTGCTCCCGTGGATATTCAGAAACGACAGTAGATATCGACGCCATATCTACTCCGGACAACATATTAACCATTTCTTTATTAACTATCGTACAGTGCTTATTTTGTGGACGCGAAATGGATCGATCCTTCACGTGGTTTTGATTAATTACACCAGGCTGAGGTTCAAATACCCAATCGGCTAAATCTCGCAAAATAATCTCGTGTGGCACTAATCTTAAACTGAAATAACCAGATTCTCCGAAACGCATATTTATAGAGAGTTTAAAATTCTTTACCGTTCCCTCAGTTCGCCTGCTAGGATTTTTTTCAGTTTTCTAGCATTTTAAAACCATACAAAATTAAAAATAAAGAAATGAAATTGTTCGAAATTGGTGAAAATGAGAATGCGTGTGTGAGATTCAGATTTACATTTTAAAATTGCTCAATCTAAAATTTTAAAAATCTTTCCGTGCAAATATGTACATCGAATGATTCTTAAATCTGAAATGTTTGTGCAAAGTTTCAGATCCAGAACCTTACTTCGAAAGTAAATTGTCTCCGTACGATTATATATAGATACATATATAAATTTATAATACAAATAGAACCATATTTGCCTCAGAAAAAAACCTCGAAATAAACGATGTAAGATTTATATGGGTATCTGTACAGAGGCAAAAGCAACATTTTTGTTTTGCAGATCTTCCGCTGTATCACATTCGCACGAACATAGCAATGCTTCGCTCGATATGAAAACAAAACAGGGACGAAAACGAATAAATGGAACATAACAATGCTCAAATCAAAATAAAGCGCACAGCTCTGCAACGATGTTGTTATCAGGGACGTGAACCGGATGAAAAATTTGGTCGGTTTGGTTCAGGGGTTCGAACCGTTGTTGCACTTTTGGATTGTTTCGTCAAAGCGGGTTTTTTTGTCTTTGAACCGGGGTTTCGGTTCGGTTCAACGGTTCGAAAAACAAAAAAATAACGCGCAAATTTAAGTGTCAAGTATCAAGAGCAACAACGCGCAAGGTATATAGATTCTGCAAAAAAAACAGGGTGTAAAAGTTTATACTTAGCTAGAAACCGTTGCGTTAATTTTTAATTTGGTTTTTAAAACATTGAAGCTGCCTTACTGGCTAAACAGAATGTAGTACCACACCCACTAGCTATTTCGCTAGCTACATTTGCTACATCAGAAATAATACACCATAACCACAGCTACATATTGTCGGCGGTTTAGAGCATTTAGAATATTTTTACTTTTGACAGCTCTTGATACATACCACAGAAGCACCATTCTGGTCAGACAGATAATTTCGTCAAATAATTCTTCTATTTAAAATCTTTTTTTTTGCCGTTGCGTTGCAGTAGCTATGAAATATGAAAAAAAACACAATGATTTACGAAATTTTATTTACTTATTTTATTTGAAAATTGTAAGTATTACATACCTAAATTACATACATATTAGGATCCATAAATAAATGCAAAGAATAATTTGTTCTACATATCCATATCTAAATTTAAGCGCTACAATGGGCTTTTATTTGCACCTCCTTACGAAAATTAAAATTTAGCTGGCGAGTAGTAAGATTAATCACGGAAAATGGCATCTTCTTAATATCTATTTAATTCAAAGAAATCATTTGTGCATAGCAGTTTCAAAAAAGTTTACATGAGAATATTATTTTTGAATAGTAGTAACTTATAAAATTTGCACTTACACATTTTATGAGTTTATCTTTGTATATAAATATGTAAATAAATAACAGTTTAAACTAAGTAAGTACAATAACAATCAGCTACATATATAAACAATATCACAGTTGTGGTGCAACAGTTCGCTAACTGTCAAACTTCCGCAGTCAAGTGTCACTCATGACAATTGCGAAACTTGTCATGAAACAGTTCGGGAAGTAGTCAGTATTTATGCGCTGATCCGACTTCACTGGACGTTGTTGGTGTCGCTGCTGGTTGTTGCAATGCTCTTGATATTGTCGTTCTTGGCACAGAGTTTGTGTCCGACACTGCTGTGTGCTTTTCTTTCGCTTGTTCTTTCGGTGCAGCTGCTGACTTCTCGCTTACAGCTGTCAATTTGACATTTGCTGAATGCAACAGACTGTGATGACTATTGGCCTCCTCATAACTTGGCAAAACAGCGTAGGCCTTACCGGCCATTACAATGCCCGTTGGTGTCGCTGGCTGTTCAGTTGAATTCATAGTAGGCAACAATGGTGTGGTCACTTCGATGAGTTGTGTCTGAGATGGTTGTTGATGTATTTGTTGTTGTGGTTGATGTTGATCACTTGAAACTTTTTCATTTACATGGAAAACACTAAAGACACTGGGATGTACAATTAGACAAGACTGTGGTGTCTTGTTGAGCAACTCAAGTGCTGATTCGTAAGAAGGTAGCCCTGAAACGAGTGTGTATTCAGGCACAGGATCTTNCCTTGAAACTTTTTCATTTACATGGAAAACACTAAAGACACTGGGATGTACAATTAGACAAGACTGTGGTGTCTTGTTGAGCAACTCAAGTGCTGCTTCGTAAGAAGGTAGCCCTGAAACGAGTGTGTATTCAGGCACAGGATCTTCGAGCTCGGGATGAAGTTTTGTGATTTCACTATTGAGGCCGTTGCGTGAGTGAGCGACGGTATTACGATCTACAAATAAAAAGAAAAGAGTAGAAGCTAGCATAAGTATTTTATCAAGTAGACTCCCGTCTCTAAATTTTTTTCTCAAATGCTGTATATGACTTATTCCACGGTAATCGATACCAAATGAAACGAAAGTAAACTTAAGAATTTGACTATATTATTTCTAGTAAGTAAAAGCATAAACAGACGGCAGCGTTGATCCGGATCAACTCGGGAATTAACTGCAGTTGATCTGGATTAAGTCTGAGTTAATCCGGATCAACGCTGCTGTCTGTTTAAGCTTTAAGAGTAAATAAATCAAACTTTCAAGACTGAAAGCCAAAATTTCGAAATTTATCTCAAATTCAAATTTTTTGTCTTTAGGTTGTACCATTTACAAACTCATATGAGAGGTTAATTTTCATAAAAATTTACAAGACTGATTTTCGTAGTGTATTGCCTTTTTTGCATTGTTTAAACGGTCAATGGAGAGAGCAATTCGTCAGCATTGTTAATGAATATTGTTAGTGTTGGTTGAGCTTCTCCTCCGATTTGTGGTGGGAAAATATAAACATCTAAGTATTGTTTCTAACCATTTGGGCGGTTACTGCATAAGTAAACTCTGCGGATGGTTTTCCCTGAGTTGAGCTGAGTATTTATTAATTCCAAATGATACATACTTACATACACAGCGTAGCGACGAATAACTGTTACACAGTTTTTTTTTTTAGAAATAAAAGGGAACTTTATAGATTTTGCGAAAAAAGTATTTTGTTGTTAATTTTCCACAAATTTTACTTTAGTTGTACTAATTAGTTTTTAAATTTTAATCCCTATTTACATTTGCCAGCAGTGTAAACTTTGAAAGAAAGGTTCATTTGGCACGCAGCTCTTCGTCAATTAATTTATTCCATATCTTCTGTAACCATAGGCCAGTTTTCTCCATTTTGAGTCCCAGCATAAAACCTCATACTCAAAAATCGAATGGACTCGGAACTGGTGACTAGGATGGCCATTCATTCGAACAACCGTTTTTCTTTTTTTTTTTGTCAAATTTTATACAATGTCTAAGAAAAAATTCACCTGAAAAAGACTTGCGTGGCAAATGAACTTTTCTCTCAAAGTTTACACTGCTGGCAAATGTAAATAAGGATTAATATTTAAAAACTAATTAATACAACTCAAGTAAAATCTGTGGAAAATTAACAATAAAATACTTTTTTTCGCAAAAGCTATAAAGGACCCTTTTATTTATCGAAAAAACCTAGGTAACAGTTATTCGTCGCCACGCTGTATATATCAAAATAATTGGGCAATTCACAAGGTGTTGTGAAGTTATATTTTCCTAACAAAAGTTGTGTTAAAACACGACGGTTGTGAACACCTGTTACGATTATTTATTATATCTCAGCACTTAACCTCACATAACACCGAATAAACATAGGTTGCAGAGTTGTATCGTCATGTGTTATTTTTCTTCACAAAACAATAACAACATTTTTACAACTGTCATGAAATATCATGACTTCACGACAAACACGACAAATACGACACCTTGTGAATTGCCCAAATATTAATATTTCCTATATGTATAACGATTTCAATATTTCTGAGATTTGTCTTGAAGAAAAAGGTTAAAAACCACTGCTACAGGCAATCCGACATTTAAACTTTCCAGGAGCGCGCATGCAAACATATTTATTATTACTTATTTATTTTAATACACTGGCAAACCTCCGAGTGTATTTCTGCCATGAAAAACAGCTTCTCATAAAAATACAATCGCAGTTCGGAGTCGGCGTAAAACTGTAGGTCCCTCCGCTTTGTGTGACAACATCAAGGCGCACGCCACAAATCGGAGGAGAAGCTCGGCCAAACACTAACATATGTGTAAGCGCCAATCTATTATTATTATTATTATTTTAATACATTGGCCCATTAAATAATAGTGCGTGCATGAAACCTCGTAAAGTGACATTTTTGGTGAAATTGCAATATTGGGAACGAAATTGTATGAACGACCCATCGCAGCTTCGGATTGCAAATGTACTTTTTTTTTTCTAAACTGACATAGCCGGCCTGCTACACTGCGCCTTAAGAATATTTTAGTGCTGTTTGATACCCGTATTGTAATATTTCATTTGTTTTAGCAACTTAAAGTAAACAGTGAACTTTCCTAAACGTCTTCATTTTGATACCCATATTGCAATATTTAATTTATCGTATCAATTAATTTGAATTGAAATTTTTTAAACGAGTGCAAGCTTTAGCAAAAATACTTTCGGCTTTAAGCCTTTTTAAATCTCTTTCTTTTGACAGCCATATTGCAATATTTACTTTATTTTAACTTTTAAACAGGTGGCAACTTTCATTTGTTTTTCCTTCCATATTTTATATTAGACCTCTAGAAATACGTCGGTGAAAACTGCATTCAATTCCATGCATTAGTTTTCGAGTACAAACATGCAGTCAGACAAATAGACAAAAATTCTAAAAATTGTTGGTTTGGCCTCTGTTGCTCTAATAAAGATACCCCATATTAATTTTTCTTTAATATCTATAATGCACAGACTACAGCCTGCTACAATTTTATTATATGTATAGATGCCGGGCCCAAGTGGAAAGAAAGGTTTTAGCAATTATATTTCGAAGCAGCCGTAACTAATATACTTTTTCTTTAAGTAATCGAGGGAAATAAAAAACATATGTACAAAGTACATATGGGCATTTCCAACGGTCGCGAAACTGTACGTTCGAACGCTTCTGAAGTTCAGAAAACAAGGAAAACATATAGCCATGTTCTGCATTTCGACTCAACTTGAAAAGTAAAACGACACGCATTCCGACTAATTTTTGTGTTGGTATTCTCAATTCCGAGTGAATCGAACAAGTTCGAAATCATTTTCGAATCGTTTTCATTTCGATTCGGTAATAAGTTGCAACAGCTGTTATCAGTTATTTATGTAAAAATTAATTCAAATCTGTATAGAACTGAAAAAAAGCCAGTGCCAATGATTTTTGGGTGTGCCCAGGCAAGAAGACGTGCTATTCCATGCTCAAAACAAAAAATCGTCAGCAAAGGATGTATATGGACATATTCAAAAAGTTGGACTCCAAGCAAATTTACCCTTCAATGTAATTTTCTTTATCTAACACGACCAGTACATTTCTTTTAGGTTTATAGAGCCTTATCGCATAAATAAAGATGTTTGTAAAATTCTGTTAGACAAAATAAATAGGTTAGCGGGAAGACATCGTTTTATTTCACCGACTACGTAACTGGCAGCCACACTCCGGTTTTTAGCAACTGCCCTGCAGTGAAATCCCAAACTAGTCAGGAAAAATACTAGTTTACAACTAGAATTTCATGACAGTACAAGTACAAAACGATTTATTCATGCCCTGTTTTATTTGATTTCGACAGTTTAATACAATAAAGTACACAAAATATTATAACTTGTATTTGGCTATATTGTATAGCGTTAAAGCGAGTACGTACTCGCAATTATACCATACCTGTTAAATAATAATTAATATTCATAATGATTATTAATTAAAGCATGTTTTTGTTTGTATAACCGTTTAATGATTAAATACCCATATAATTAATTACTTAAAAAATTCTTAATTAAAAAAGTAATTAATTAGTTAAAAAAAATTTAATTAATTAATTAAATTTAATTACATCATTGTTTCGTTACTTTTGATCATTTTCAATTATTTTTGACTTGTTTTAATTACACGATTATAATTATGTGATTAATTTATATTATTAATCATCAAGGCAAACTATAGACAAAAATTAAGAATAATTATTAAAAATTTAACACTATTAAATTGGCAAATCTAAGGCTGCTAAATAAAAATGTGTAATAAATTAAAGTGTACTTAAAAGTTTTTTATTGTATATTCATGAATTAATTTTATTTTTTTGACTCCCAAATTAGTTGTTTTGGTCCATAATTTGCCTAGTATTTTTCTGTCTATTTTGAACTAGTATGAGACTGGTATATTTCTGACCGATATCTGACAATTGCCATCTCGTAGGACATCCCCATGTTAAAAATACCAGTTGGGGATGCGGTTCATAATAGTTGTGAAGTAGTTTACAACTAGTACATTTGACTACAGGGTGGCTCCTATCAGTTGAGAATAGCTAAGACCAAGATGTCAACTTAGGCAGAAGCACTTTTTCTAAGGTATTGCACTTTGCTGTACAGAAGGTGGAGAGCTGCAGACGAGAACGAAAATGATCATCAGGCGATTGTAGATGTAGGGAAAATGAGGGATGATCTTGCCCGCAGTTACAAATGTAAATTTTTAAATTATTTAAACACATAGTAACTCACAGAATTATTCGTAATATAGTTTTTTCACAATATTTTCCATCATCTTTAATATTTGATTAAAATATAGCTCATTCTATAACAAAAACCATATAAATCAATCTTGCAAACTTTGTACAAAATTCACAAAGATTAATCAAAATTTAAAAAAATTTTATCAAAACTCCAAACTTTTTATTTAGAAAGTCTAGAAAGATTTCGAGTATGCAGTTTTTTAGCCCATTAAATTTTAGTATATAAATGTTTTTCCAAGATGATCAGAATGTCGAGCTGAGCCGGTTTAGCCAAGTTCATCTGTCGGTCTGTTTGAACGCAGTCAAGTCCCTCAGTTTTCGAGATTTCCGACTGAAATTTGGTAAGCGAGTGTATTTTTATAATGTATTAATTATTTGTCTGAACCGTCAATATCGAACCCTTATAAGTCATAGCTCCCATACAACTGATTGTTCATTTTAGTTATCGGTCCTGATTGACCATTCTGTGGAAATGCTCATATGTTTCGCGACTTTGACTTTGCAATGATTGCCAGTTCAAATAATATGCCACTGTTGCAAATTTGTCGCAAGAAAGTTTTCATGCAAAAGTAATCTGCTGTACCGCAAGGGCATTTACAACATCTTTGCGACGCTTCAAGAATCGCCTTATTATGTTTTGTAATACATAAAAGTGCCAAAGCCAGAA